TGTGATTCTTGGAAGGTCTCTGAACTTTGAGGATCTGATTCTTGGAAGGTCTCTGAACTTTGAGGATGTGTGTTTTGGAAGGTCTTTGAACTTTGAGGATCTGATTCTTGGAAGGTCTCTGAACTTTGAGGATGTGTGTTTTGGACGGTCTCTGAACTTTGAGGATGTGATTCCTTGAAGGTCTCTGAACTTTGAGGTTGTGATTCTTGGAAGGTCTCTGAACTTTTAAGATGTGATTCTTGGAAGGTCTCGGAACTTTTAAGATGTGATTTTTGGAAGGTCTATGAACTTTTAGGATGTGATTCTTGGAGGTCTCTGAACTTTGAGGATGTGTGTTTCGGAAGGTCTCTGAACTTTGAGCATGTGATTCTTGGAAGGTCTCTGAACTTTGAGGATGTGATTCTTGGAAGGTCTCTGAACTTTTAGGATGTGATCTTTCGCAGTGACAGGCACACCTTTCAAACGCACAGAACACCCTTCCGGCTGGGACTTTGGGAAGAGGCCTCTTTAAGGGGACAGTCATGCCACGCCCGGCTTGCTGATTTCTCTTTCGAGCATTTTGGGGCCGGGAGCTGTCAACTCAAGCTCGGTCAGTCAACTTACAGCATGCTGACAAATGTGATTGACCCCAGATTCATCCCGCTGGAGTAAACAGGTGTTTCTCCCTGCCAAAAAGTGAAGAATCCCTTCTAAAGCAGCTTACTTTTGAATGCGACACGGGCCCAAAGGCAACCCGAAACGACCCGCCACGGCTTCTGTGTAGGACGCCAGTTCCATGTGGTTTTCTCCTATGTACTGTCCAAAGGCACCATTCGCTGGGTTTCGGACTTGTTCTTGGCTTTGCGCGAATAGCCGGGCGTTTTGAGTTTGATCCAAGGACAGCAGGAGGAGACGCCTTCTATCTGTCTGCCCGCTGCCCGGAGAGTGTTGCTTTGGTTCGCTGCTGTTTGGGGTTCGGGGTTCGGGGCATAGAAGGCGTTCTAGATGTCTTTAGCAGAAACAGGAGGAGGGGGGCTCGAATCTTGAAGCTCCCCCAGGACTGTGCGGTTTTGCTTTTTTGTGTGGAGCTGTCCATGTCAACCCAAATTTAGTTCCCAGTCCTACGATGTGAAACGGAATCATAGAAGGTCGTTTTCCTAGTGGGACAACCAGCAACACAACCCTAGAATTGCTTTGTCTTCTTGCCGCAGGAGAGTCTGGAACCATGGGGCAGGACCGGAGCTCTCGCACCAAGCTCAAGGATCCAGATCAACTTGGTTCATTGCTGTGGAGTGGAAGCTCAGGTTTTTCATAGTCCGAACTTGGCATTGGTAAAACCAGTGGACAAAACTGTGTGGAAAACTTTGTTCATTGTTTTTGGGCCATGTTCGGTGATTCCAAGGGCATGCCTGTCAAGGTGACGAAGCAACGGGCATGACAGGCACATTTGGGGCCCTTCCCCACCCGTGCACGGGGACCATCTTGGTGGTGAGTCGTCTAGCACGTGATCAGCAAGTAGTGGGCAGGGCTGAGCCCGAGAAACATCCAGATTGCATGTGAACGGTATTCTTGTGTTGTTTAGCGAACAAGTTCGAATGAATCTGCCGCCATTGCAGAGAATATTAGAAGAAAGCAGTTCTGATTGGAGATCCCTCCCATATCAAGCAGTGTGTCTGTTGAGAATATGTGGGACCAGGTTGTTGGACTTCCGAATGGGTCGCCACCTAAAGTCAACAGGTTTGGGTGCTTTGCGCTTTGGGTTGAGGTGGGCTATTACGCTGAGCTGGAGATCTCGTCTACCACCACCAGCAGCACTGGCAGCAGAAGCACTGCCACCACTGAGAGTACCTCCAGCACCAGCGCCACACAGACCTCGAGTGACTTGGTGGCGTTTTGGTGCGAGCGAACTGACTTTTCAACCTGTGAACCTGTGCCCTAGAAGCGAAAAAACAAGTTATAGCGGTTTCGCTTTCCCCCACTTCGAGGTTGACTTTGGTGAAAGAAAGGGGCCAGTCCTTTCAACACATTGAGGGGCTAGGCCAAGAGAGAGGCGAAGAGACCTTGTCCTCTTCTAACTAATATTTTCACCTTTTGGACAATGACCTACTATCTGTCCACCATTTTCGCTTGGAGGGGGGTCGCTCCGGCCAGGTACCTTCACCGTGTCGAGCACGAGCTCCGTCACGAGCACCACGAGCACTAGGTCGACGCGGACCGCCACGAGCACCCTGAGCACCACCACCACCGGCACGTTGACAACCGCCACAGCGACCACCACCACCAACCCCAACGCCACAGCCACTTCCAGCTCCAGCACAAGCAGCTTGACCGGCACCAGCAGCACCAGCAGCAGCACCAGCAGCAGCACCAGTAGCACCAGCAGCACCAGTAGCACCAGCAGCAGCGGAAGTTCCAGTAGCAGCAGTTCATCAAGCTCCACGTCCTCAACAAGCACATTTGGTGCTTTGCCCACCACCACATCTTCAACCTCGGGCAACGCAACCTCAACCAGCCCAATAAATATCACGACGTCAGCCAGCTTTGCTTGGGAAGACGTTAATGGCACGGATTGCAACGAAAGCAACCAGAGCAATGAGAGCAACAGCAGCGGCCTTGATTGCAACAGCAGTCTCGCCTTTAAATTTCAACCGACGACTACCAGCGCCACGCAATTTACAGGCCGCTCTTCGAACCGTGCTCGGTTGAAGGTCTAGACACTCGAATGAGGGGATGGTTGCGCGAGTGTTGAGTTGGCAAGTCTTCAAGCTGTTTCAAGGAGAGGGCTCTTCTTGATTCACTCGCGGATCCCAGTGCACATGGAGGCCAATAAGAAGGAGTGCCTAGCATCATGTGCTGAGGAGAGTGAAAACCAGCAAGAGCATCCCTACCGAGGAAGCCATTGGAATGCTTTGCTGAGTTTGCATTGGCAAGGGTTTGATTTACGTCTGCTGGAAATACGAGCTACTGGGAGAAACAAAAAAACTTGATGCGTATGTACTGCAGGTGGATGGATGGAATCCAGCCAAGCTCCGTCCACGGCCAGTTCCACAAAGACAAAGACCACCAGCCTGCGTGCCCAGGCTCAACAAGTTGCAAACTCGTGTCGATCCCTGTTCGCGCCTGCCCTGTTCGCGCGGGCTCTTCGGAGGCATTCCGAAGTGGTTTTTGTTCATCGACATATGCTTTGAGCGTCCAAAACCACAGTGCGCGGTTCAATCAGCGGATTGTCCCAGGGATTTCTATCTTTAAAGGGGAAACCCAAGTTTGACACAAAGCGCCTTAACCAGGGGACAATGCGGGCTCGGCCCCGAATCATTTTTTGGGTGTGAATGTTCATCGGGAACCCTTCACACATCATTTACATGGTTGGACTTATGTCCACCGCTCCGTGTTGAGGATATGTTCCAAGCAATGGAGGGTAGTTGCGGGTGGGGATGGTCGCTGATGATCTGTTGACTTAAGCAGGCTTTTGGGCGGACGGAACCTGAGTCGTCTCTATTCTCCCACAAAAGGTTGGGCGGGTACCACCTAAGATGAGCCATTGGACAGTTACACTGTCTGTGGCTTATGTCCCCATGGAATATGAACCACAAGCCCTGTTTGCCAGCCCTGGCAGACATGCCAAGGTTCCACAAGCACAAGCAGCAGCCTATCCACTAGCACAAGGAGCAGCCTATCCACTACCAACAGCTGGTCCACGACCACCACTATGTACAACGAGACTGTACTGCCAGTGATCGTGCCATTCTTGGTTGAGGAGCGAATCCGGAGAATTGGCTTGGCATGAGCGACTGGCCAGAATGGTATGTACAACTGTACAACACACACACACACACACACACGATGACGTGCAATTCCCACGGCAGGATGACGCCCTCCCCGTTGGCAGCCTGGTTGGAGTGATCCTGCTGACGGCTTCTCTCCTCGTCTCAGGCCCGGGAGTTGGACCAGTCAGAATCGCCTGGAGGCCTCCACGGAAATTCGGTTCGTGCGCAGGGTTGCATGTTTTTGTAGACTTGTGTCTTGGTGTCTCTGAGATGTTGTGTGAATCTCTGAGATTCTCTGTATGTGTATGGGTGGGTGGGCAAGCACCCAAACCCAGCAACCGACCATGCAACCAAGCAGCCGATGGACCGGCCAATCAACCAACCCACCCACCCACCAACCGACCAAGACAGAAAGGCCCATTCTCCGCGAACATTCACCGGGCAACCCAGACCATCCAGATCAGTTCGACGAGGAACCGTATGCCATTTTTCCCACGGCGAACCACCTGATCCAACGAGTGCGACCTCCAGAACCCCAACCCGGTGGAGATGTTTTCCATGTCGCGCAGCGCCTTCTCCCCTTTCGGGTGCTGTGTGCTGAAGAACGCGCTTGAATGATTTTGTTGTGAGATGCAGAACACCGGGCAATGGTTGGAGCCGACAATCCATTGAACGCCCCGCATACACACCATCTTGTTTCGAAAAACATGAATCCAGGAGGTCGACTGCTGACAGCACGCACCGTTTCGGACATCAAGCCACAGTGTTTGGGATAGGATACGTAGATGATGGTTGAACCCCCTTGCAAAAACGTGTTGGCAATCCCAGCTAAATAGAAGAGCATACTGCCCCCGAATCAAATTCAACCAGAGGCCCGTTGCCGTTGATGAATCAATAGAGCCATTACAACTCCATCACATGACTTTGGTACAATGAAAACCCAACGATAGCAATTTCCCACAGTCGACACCTTGAGAAATGATTCTTGGGCAACAGCCTGAGTGAGTTTCAATGTGGGCTGTACTTGTGGATGGGTTCCCAGTGTGCCCTACCACGTTGTAAGGATCGCTGTCCGGTTGTTGAAACTCTCCAAACAAAAGGTCGAGCCACTGACAGACTTGGGGCTCTGTCAATTAATTTGGGCGCCTCTGGGTGGATGGCTTCATGTTGTCCTTTCCCAAGCGGGTCACGGGTCTCGTTCTGAAGCATGAGTGCTGCAAGGCCCTGACTGATCCTGACCAGGACTGTACCTCTTGCGGAAGTACGGAGTCCTGCGAAGGTGCGCGAATTTGATGAGCAAGCCTGGACTGTACCTCCTGAAGAAGTGCAGCAAGCTGCGCCGGTGCTGGGATCGCATAAAGAGGCGGCTGGGGAAGTTTTCGCCGGAGTGGTCTTGCGAAAACCGATTCAGAGAAGCTGAATTCTATGAACCTTTCTCCATGTTGCTACCTAAAGTCTCAATGGGTAAGTGGTGACAATTGGCCAAAGGCCATCAAGTTTGCCCAGCTACTTTCAGAGGAGCTGGGATATGTAGCTTACCCATTCGAAGGTACGCTCTGTGACATGGGTGTCCATGTAAAGCATGCATTCCGGCCGGACTTGAAGCTGAAAGGGCATGAGCGCCAGTTAGGCGGTTTCGGCAAGAGAAAGTGAAGCGGTGAAGAGAATGGTGCAAGGCACGCTGGTCTTTGTAAGGCTAACTCATTGAACATGAAACTAGAAGCGCACCTTCGCGAATCAGAGGTACACCATCCCTGGCGGGTCCTTGGAAGGTATGCCGCATGCCAATCTTTCCAATAATCATGGTGTCACAAGAGGAATCTCGGTCAGCAACCATTCGACAAACACCCACTCCGAATCCTTCTTTCATCTTGAAGTTGCATTCACAGTTGGCAGCAAAAAGAGTTCAGTTTCCACGCGGCACACAACGGCAGTCAGTTCAGAAGGACCATCAATGCCTGCCCTTTTTAAGAATGCACCTGTGCACCGGAACGTGCAAACATGTGCAGGTGCTTCCGCCAGAGCAAGTCGAAGGTGACGCCTACCAAGTTCTCCAAGGAGCCGAGGGGCACCTGGTCTCTCTTCTCTTGTTTCAATTTCTTCCGGAAGCGTGTTCCATCATGAAGGGGAGCAGCTGTCGTGCTGGTTTCCTTTCTAGATCGTCCAAATGTGCCAGAAAGGCACATGGAGAGTGGACTGGCAGAAGTAGAATGCTAAGCTATTTGCTTCTATTTGCTATGCTTTCTCGAGAAGCAGGAGGCTCTGATTTGTTCAAGCTGTGTTTTTGCATGTTTTGATACATGAGTCATAGCCAGAAAGCCAGAAGGCGGGCGCCTCCCCTCCCTTCAGGAGCCTGCGACGCCGACAGAGGCCAGATGCCCGGAAGGTTCCAGGAGTTTCTGAAGTTCCTCAAGGTTGCTCTGACCTTCACATGACCAAACTATTGACTCGTGTTGCCCAATTCCAGGGTTCAATTGTCTAGCAGTGCCTTTGGAGCAGGCGTGTTTCCCTTGCACACCCACCGAAGGAGTTGGGCCTTTGTGTTTTGGTGGGGTGTTCTTCAAAGCGAACACATGGGCATGGAAAGCTGGCAGAAAAAGAGAGTGGACAGTGCTGCTTGAAGAGCAGCAACAGGCCCTTTTCTAATATGGAACATCTGAAAACATTATTTTCAGTGTGCCCGTTTTTGTGGGGCAAGCCAACGCCATTGTGCAGAGGCACCGCTTTTGGGGGTGTTCCCTGGCACCATTGCCACGACCCGCTCTTCTCTTGAGGATGATATGCAAGAAGCCTGTAGCACCAGCCAGGATTCAGGCAGCCCAATGCGGCCAGAAGTGCGGGATAAAGAACCAACCTCGAGAACTGCCGTTTTATAAAAAGCTGCAGCTGCGAGGACACTTTTCAAGGGCTCCACTTGGAGGGGTCCAAGTTTCGACACATGGCAACATGACCCTTGCATAGGGGACCAGCGGGCCCAATGATCGTTCCCTGACTATTTTTGGACCACCGTGGTGTTCGAACATGGCGCCTGCTTCTTTCTGAGATCCTGCAACACCGAGGGCATCTCTTTGAAGTGATAAAGTAAACATGCAAACCCCACTTTGAGCCACCATCATCCTGTGGGATCAAACTTGGAGGCGGAGGCCTGTGGATCTCCTGAGTTTCACATAAACCAAGCACCAATGGCAGGGAGATCTTTGCAGCAGTCTGTACTTGAGAAATCTCCCGTTTCGTGCTTGATTCAGCAAGTACCGACAGAAGAAATAGTTGAGCAGCGATGTGCTTCGTGGTTGGCTGTCTCCTCACATTGCCCCAACGGAAACAGACACACCTCTCCTCCAAATATGCTTTTGCTTCCAGCTCTTTTCATCTAACATCTGGAGAGTCCGTGCAATATGTTAGGAATCCACCCGTTCTGGACAGCAGGGCATCCAAATCTATTGAAGTCGCAGGTCCCAAGGAAAGCCCTCGACGGCTGTTAGGACATCAGTCCGACCCGAATGACCCCCAATAGACTGAGAAAGCAGCAACTCAGAACTACACTGGAAGACTGGAGCTACATGATACGGACTATGTTTTTGTTTTTTTGTTCTCTCTCTCTCTCTCTATCGACCAGAAACTCAAGCCCATCATCCATGCACTCAGTGAGACGTCCCGTATCAAATTCATAGCGAAGTGTCGTCTTCGCGAGGCGGGCAGCATGAAGGATGCCCGCCAGTCGGGCACCCAGGGCTGACAGACTCAGCCGACCTGATTTTAGGGGTTGCAACCATGCAAATAGTTCTATAAAGACTCTATGTTTAAGGTTTGCAGAAGTGTGGGAATTACAAGGCCAAAAGATCAAGGGTCAAAGGATAGGGTTCTTTGCGCATGGGTTCGCAGGTGTTGTAGCTGAACATAAGCTGCTAGATGTGTCGCACATATTCTACAAACAATGTTTACAACTCTTGCTGTTTTGCCGCTTTACCACCTAAGCGCGCTGCTTTGTTGCCAAGCGGGCAACTTTGCGAGGTTCAGGTCGATGTATTTGTTGCCCTCTGTCGCTTAATCTCCAGGTGCCTTCTAAGAATTGCCAAAACGAGTAGACATCCATTTGGTCAAGGTTCCTTGTACGGGGTCTCTTTTGAGCATGGCAAAGGGAGGTATTCTGCAAGCCTTGGCTTCTCTTTGCCCTACAGGCCCCAGTACAAACTAGGATTGTTGTGGAATTGTGTGTAGCTGGCTTCTGAGGAGCAGCCCTGGTTTTCCTCCAAGCTCTCACTGCTCCTTGAACCGAGGCACCAGCAAAAGTTGAGCTCACCTTGGCAAAGTGCGCGATTCCACCCATGGGAATTGTTTGAGGATTCGGAATTTCCGAGCAAAACAGAAAACAACCCACTAAAAAACGGGCCAGGCCTGCAACACTGGCTCTTTTCCGTCGGCTCGAGTCCGACGCCTTGTTCCCTGAGGGGCGACGGCTGGCCGGACCTCCTGGAGGGCGAGCAGGAGCCGGGCGAGCCGCGCGAGCCCGCGCCCGAGCCGACGGAGCCCACGGAGCCTGGGTGGGAGGAGCTCTTGGTGCGGCTGCAGGCGGGGTTTGGATTCGGGGGGTGGGGGGAGATGGAGAAATGGACCCTGGACGATGGTCAAGCTTTGGATAGGAGTGTTGAGCAACAACTCAAAGGGGGTAGTCGTTTCGAATGCTGATGAAAATGAAAATGCAAATACCATCAACGCACGATGAACCAATTAGGAAATAGGTTGACTCCCGTCCAGCTCAGGACTTCTTCCGGCTGCAGCCGAGCAAGGCGGACATCCCCAGAGGTGTAGCAGAGATCTTGGAGCAGTGGAGCCAGGAGAAAGCTTTCGGGAAGACCATTTTCGTGGCGGCGATCCCAACAACATGCTTTGTCTGTTTCTTGGTGGGAGTTTTGCGGCAAAGAAACAGTTGTCGGGTGGGGGGCAGTCCACTCTTTACGTTGTGCATTTGCTTGGAGGGGGCTTCCCCTTGAATCAACGAACCACAAATTGACTTCCCCTTGCCGCCCTTTCGTCTCCCATGCCACTGGAGCTTTGGGAAGCACACAGTCCTTCAGGGGTCCTTTTCAATATAATAGTCTTTACATCTGAGGATTGAAGGGAAACTGGACCAAATTCTACCTGTGACAATTTGAGTTGGGCGCATAAAAGGTAGTTGCAGGGAAGCCCAAACCCGGTCTGCTTGATCAATGGTTTAGATCGGAGCCTTTAGATGTGAGTACTGTTGACTCAAGGCTACAATGCTGGCCTGGTTAGGAGTGTTCAAGGGTTTAAGGAGACTTCAGGTGCCCAAACGGTTGGCTGCTTGTCTTTTTGTGCTTTGCCTTCTACTGTTCTCATTTTTATGTTCATCAATTGAAGAAGGCTCGGTCCTTTGCTTTATGTTGTGGCTTTACATTTTTCTGCCAGTTTGGGGGGCCCTTCCCCCAGAAGGGATGTAACTGGCATCCTACCTATCCCTGGGTCTTTTTGGGCGTCTTTTGTTTGGACATGGAGTTGGTGTGACTGTCACGATGTTTCTACTGAGAGTGGTGACTTAGAGGCGATGACTTTCTTGAAATGGTTGCAAAGATCGGACAACATGACAATGTGATTGGCAATTCTTACGCAGGCTTGGTTTTGAGACAGTGATTTGACAGTGATTTGCATGCTGGCATGGCTTCAAGTGGAATCCGAACCCCCTTTTGGATAGATTGAAAGGCAAACCGACCACCGGAGTTTTGCTTGCGTATTGAAGAATGCTTGAATAACAGCATTGTTGCTCATCCAAGACTTGGGAATTTCAAGAACCCTAGCATGTGCCAAGTTGATTCATCGTGTCGCATGTTTCAAGGTACCAGGGAGCCCTTTTTGTAAGCGACCCCTTTCAGGGCAGGCCCTTCCTTCCCAAATCACCCTTGGTGCATCAGGAGACCAGCGGAGCGACCATCGCAACAGCGATGCTCGGCAAAGCATGAACATGTGTTCTAACCTTCGACCTTTGAGGATGCTTCCCCAAGACAAGAAGCTGGGCCGAAAGTCAGGGAGTACCTCCAGGCTGAGGGCCCCAGAGTTCCAATGAGCACCCGTTTTTCTTGGAGCAGAGGTGAAACTTGGCAGATTTGCAGGTCTGAGGAACCTTTCAGGCCCCCTGGTGAAGTGCTCAATTCCGCCTTCGGCATCCATGTTAGAATGGTAATGTGTGTTGAATTGTGCTTTGAATTTCAGGGTATATGTGGGTGCGTCTTGTTTAGCCACCAAGAAGTTGTACCCTTTCTCCAACAATCATGGAAGCTGACGATCAGAGGGTTTGGGAAGACCTTTTTTTTTGGGGAAGCTCCCTGTCCACTTCGATGATTGTTGCAGGGAGAGAGACATCCTTGTACCCTCCCACCAAAACAAAACATGGAACCTGACAGCGGGCCCCTTTAGCATGGTTGTTGTTGGGACACATTTTACATCTTGCTTATTGGTGCTTAGTGGGAAATCACCACAAAACTGCTAAACTGTAGGTTTTTGCTCCCCTTCCAACGTCAACCAAGCTAAAGGAACATTGCCAAAGAAAAATTTGGACCGATTCCCCGAAGGCCAGCGTCCATGTGAATCGTTGGCTGCTTGCCGAGGGTGCTGACGGAGGTGCTGTCACATCCCGCCGTGCTGAGCGGCCGCGTCCTAAAGGGAGGGGTGAGGGGAGAGGGGAGAGGGGAGCTACAGCCGAATCGACCAAGAAGTGACGAATCATGGCTATTGGGAACCCCTTGGCTTCGACAAAGCACCCTAAGTTGTCCATGTTGGGTGACTCAAACCTTTGGGCCATCTTGAATTTAGTTGCCCTTGGGTGTGATGATGTTTAGCGGGGACATACAAAGGAAGCTTGTTGGAAGTACCAGGGCAGATGTCCAAGGAGTCCTGTTTGGAGCACCCATCTTCGCGGGACCCATTTGTGGAGGACCCCCCCTCCCTTGTTTGAACCCCAGCCAGCTGCTCAAAGAGCCAAGATGGGAACCCTTCAAAGAGAGAGAGCAATACCGCCAGTTTGTCGGCGGTGCCAAGATCATGTCTTGCGACGGGCACATTCAAACACACCTAATCCTTAGACGCGAGGGGCCCATTCTCCAAATTTCAAGATAGAGAGAAGGCCAAAACGAGTTGCCAACAGGTCATGGCCCAATCGCTCAAGTTTCAGCTTTAAGCTGGGCTGGTCCCTTCAGTTCTTCCGAGAAGCAATGCATGGAAGTGCGCGTCCGGGTTTTCAAAACGCTCTTTTTTTCCGACCTGTTTGCACTGGAGTGTTTTTAGGCGCATCAAGTCGGGGCCCTTTGGTTTCCCTTTGCGGGCACGAGGCTTCGATGTGGGCCGCACCGTTTCCCAGGCCAGGACACGGACATCGAGAAGCTGAAACCAGTCGTCAATAACGCATGGCAGAAGAACCTGCGTGAGCTTCCACAAGAGCCGCTTGGCATATGAGATAAGCTTGGGTTCAGCTTGGGATCAGCTTGGGAGGTGCTTGGGATCAGCTTGGGAGGAGCTTGGGATCAGCTTGGGATCAGCTTGGGAGGAGCTTGGGATCAGCTTGGGATCAGCTTGGGTAAGCTTGGGAGGAGCTTGGGATCAGCTTGGGATCAGCTTGGGAGGAGCTTGGGATCAGCTTGGGATCAGCTTGGGATGAGCTTGGGATCAGCTTGGGATCAGCTTGGGAGGTGCTTGGGATCAGCTTGGGAGGAGCTTGGGATCAGCTTGGGATCAGCTTGGGAGGAGCTTGGGATCAGCTTGGGATCAGCTTGGGATCAGCTTGGGTAAGCTTGGGAGGAGCTTGGGATCAGCTTGGGATCAGCTTGGGAGGAGCTTGGGATCAGCTTGGGATCAGCTTGGGATGAGCTTGGGATCAGCTTGGGATCAGCTTGGGAGGAGCTTGGGATCAGCTTGGGATCAGCTTGGGAGGTGCTTGGGATCAGCTTGGGAGGAGCTTGGGATGAGCTTGGGATTGGGATCAGCTTGGGATCAGCTTGGGATCGGCTTGGGATCGGCTTGGCATCAGCTTGGGATCAGCTTGGGATAAGCTTGGGATCAGCTTGGGATCAGCTTGGGAGGTGCTTGGGATCAGCTTGGGAGGAGCTTGGGATCAGCTTGGGATCAGCTTGGGAGGAGCTTGGGATCAGCTTGGGATCAGCTTGGGTAAGCTTGGGAGGAGCTTGGGATCAGCTTGGGATTAGCTTGGGATCAGCTTGGGAGGAGCTTGGGAGGAGCTTGGGATCAGCTTGGGATCAGCTTGGGATGAGCTTGGGATTGGGATCAGCTTGGGATCAGCTTGGGATCAGCTTGGGATCGGCTTGGGATCGGCTTGGGATCAGCTTGGGATCAGCTTGGGATCAGCTTGGGAGGAGCTTGGGATCAGCTTGGGATCAGCTTGGGATAAGCTTGGGATCAGCTTGGGATCAGCTTGGGATCAGCTTGGGATCAGCTTGGGAGGAGCTTGGGATAAGCTCGGGATCAGCTCGGGATCAGCTCGGGATCAGCTCGGGATCAGCTTGGGATCAGCTCGGGATCAGCTTGGGATCAGCTTGGGATCAGCTTGGGATCAGCTTGGGATCAGCTTGGGATCAGCTTGGGATCAGCTTGGGATCAGCTTGGGATAAGGTTGGGATCAGCTTGGGATCAGCTTGGGATAAGCTTGGGATCAGCTTGGGATCAGCTTGGGATCAGCTTGGGATCAGCTTGGGATCAGCTTGGGAGGAGCTTGGGATCAGCTTGGGATCACAGCTTGGGGTCAGCTTGGGGTCAGCTTGGGGTCAGCTTGGGGTCAGCTTGGGGTCAGCTTGGGATCAGCTTGGGGTCAGTTTGGGATAAGCTTGGGATGAGCTTGGGAGAAGCGTGGGATCAGCTTGGGATCAGCTTGGGATCAGCTTGGGATCAGCTTGGGATCAGCTTGGGGTCAGCTTGGGATCAGCTTGGGATCAGCTTGGGATCAGTTTGGGTAAGCTTGGGAGGAGCTTGGGATCAGCTTGGGTAAGCTTGGGATCAGCTTGGGAGGAGCTTGGGATCAGCTTGGGATCAGCTTGGGATCAGGTTGGGATCAGCTTGGGAGGAGCTTGGGATAAGTTCTCCCAAGCTTGGGAGAAGCGTGGGAGAAGCTTGGGAGAAGCTTAGGATAGGCTTAAGATAAGCTTGGGATACACTTGGGATCAGCTCGGGATAGACTTGGGATACACTTGGGATAAGTTGGGGATACACTTGGGATGTTATGAGATAGTTCTGGACACTTGGAATAAACTTGGGATTGCGGCGCGGCCATTTTCTGTGACGAGAGAGCCCTCTTTGCAGTTCGAAATAGTGGAACCGCAGAAGAAGGGTAATTGTCCGATCCTTAGAAAATACGCCCCAAACAAAAAGGCACCCTCAGAAAGTTTTTCAGAACCCTCCGATCATTTCACCTTTTCGGGGGGTGGATGAGGGTGCTTGGTCATTTCCCTGTTGGCATAGGCCGCCACGTCAAGTCGCTGGGCCGTGGTTTCTTATAGAGTCGGTCAGGGAAAGTTGGGGACGGTTGGCGGTGGTTCGGGACATGTTGCTTGTCTTCCTCTTGCTTTTGGGAGGTTCTCTACACTCAACAAACAACGACAGAGTAGTCCCGTTTTTTTGCCACACGAAACTGGGTAAGTCGGGCGATGTAACGCTCTATAGCGAGTAAGGGTCTGCGACCAAGATATTCCAAGTTTCGAACCATGTGCTTGACTAGCGACACTTTGGGGGACGCCAGGGCTCTAAGAGGTGCTGAGCTTCACTCAGACCGTTTCCGACTTCCGACTTCCGACTTGGCCGGGTGCTAGGGACACAAAAAGGTCATTTTGCAGCCAAGAAGCCTGGACAACCAATGGCCCTAAACTATCAAATTGCAGCATAGACCCAAGTGTCCGCCATACGGGATGGGGTTATATCTGAGACCTTACCAAGCTTGACGGCTGGCCTTTTGAGCAGAGCCGGGTCCAAGAAGACGTTGGTTTCAGCAGACTAGTGGCAAGCGGATCGGCCCAACCTTCTCGATCCATGTAAGCCATATCCATTCATGGCGTATTTCCTTTGGCATGGGTGAGCAATCCTCATTTTCTAATGGCAATGTGATGAATGTCATCCCCATACTACTGTAGATGACGATAAATCAGAAAGAACAGGAAAGCCTTTTGGGGCCACTAAAATTGGCGGTCTTCTGTGGCCGGCAACTGGACTCCATGGATTCCTTTCAGGAAGCGCAGCATGCTGGAGTGGGCCAGCGACGACCTCATCGAAGACATCAGGAGAGGAAAGGGTTAAACCAGATTCTAGCTGTACCCTCCCCATTCTCTTCAGGCATTATTCTCTTCAAAGAATGGGCCAAATCCCTGGAAAATGGGTGGTTTCCAACGAGAAAGATGGGTGAAGAGAATGGGGAATCAAACCTTCGACAGATGGGCAGGTTGTGAGCATAGATTTGTTCAAAATTCCGTTCTATGTCTGTTTGGGTTGGGGCATGGGGGACTCTAATGAACGAGTTTCCCCAAAAAGCCCTGAAGGCTCGCCAATTTGTCGATGTCCTCTTGGGAAGACAAATACTGTTGAGTGACTCACATCCGTTGTTCAGCTTTTGACATATCGCAAACCACACTTGTATTCTCACATCTGTATTCGAACAACACAGCATGCACTAAGCATGCCGCTTTTATAAGCTTTATACTCAACTTGTTGCTAGTCTTTGCTTGGTGGAGGTTGGAACCAAAATCAGATCAAAGCTTAATCCGATGTTGGCATTGCCCTCAGAGACGAACTAGGCTACATAGACGCATCCCTTTCAGCAAATAGGCTGCGGACCCTGCCGCTTGTCCACTAAGCATTATGTCAGTGTGCTAGCGGTGGTTGATCTCAGCTTCTGCCATGCCTATTTCTGCTTCCCAAGATGTTCAGTGCTGCCATGAAATGGATCTGCACACATTGTCTTCAGTGTCTTTGCTGGCTACTGCGACCGTGCTTCCTCACTCAGTGCTGTCATTTGTTGGCGGGCTTTGCTCGGTCCCACACTGGGTAAGCTAAGCCCTTTCCTTGAAGCATAGCCACAGGGTTCAAAAGCTGTTCAGGGTCGTTGCCTCTGACATCAAACTTGGAAGGGACAATCGTTTTGGTTGAGTCGCGTTTGAAATCCGGGCAATTGTACAGAACTCACTGCAGAGTGAACGAGCTTATCCCTGAGGAAGGTTTCTTTCGGGAATCCGTTAGTTCCAATATGGAGTTATAGCGGCTTTTGCTCAGATCCCGCGCGCTCTATGATTGCAAAGGACTACTTTTGAAAGTGACAAAGATGTTACACCGAGAATCTTTGGTATCACAGACCCCTTTTCTCTCTGGGTGTTTCCCAACACGGCGGACCTCGGAAAAATGGTTGGATGCCGTGCGGATTTCTTCACGTGGTGGCTCCCGGCCATCCCCTTAGCTTTTTAGCCTTTTAGTGCTTAGTGGTAGTGTCCCTTTAACACATTAAAAGTTAAACTTTTGGCGGGGGATCTGAGGGCAGCCCAGGTTAGTTTTCTTCTGGTTTCCTTGAACATGGCGTACTTCGACCCCGCTCTCCAGGCTCCAGATCCAACTGGACCATCCGGGCGACGACGTGCCAAGCTCACGGGGTTTCTCAGAGAACTTCTTTTCGGGGACTTGGGAATGAACCGTAAGGGACATCCCCTTTCAGGAAGCTTCAAGTGGCCTTAAACTTTTCTATGGCACAGTTGTTTGACCAGCGGCCTCCTAGTTTGTTAAGATTGGGGTCATGTCAGATGTCAACGACTGTTTCAATGCAAGTTGTCTGGCCTGCGATTTGGCAGACATATTGGCTTCGCTGGCTAGGAACCTGGGAATCGGTCAGAACGTGTCAGTTTGGGGCGGTTTTCAAAAGGGGCCAGCAGGATTGCCATTTGAGTGGTTCAAACCGATTTTTTGCACACAGCCATATTTTTCCTGCCAAGGGATGTGCCTTCCTTCCACTCCTGGCGCGCACCCACTGTACACGCCTATCTGCCCGAGACGTATGAGTCGTTATGCTTGTGTGGGCATTAAATAGCATAAATTCCTCGAGCCTCTCCAGCCAGACGGTCAAACCAAAGCCACCTGGACATCTTCAGACTGGCCCGGTGGTTCCTCTCCACGCACCCCCTAAGTAATGCCCTGTAACCATAGGGAAGACATATATGGAAGGGGGTCACCCTAGCTTGCATCGGCGAAGGGACGCTTCATACTCAGGGCACCCTAAACAGGTTCCAAGAATTGGGTTCCAGCTTGCTCCAAAGGACAATTCGGACAATCTTGTATGTAGTCTCTTAGAATCCATTTACCTAAAGAACAAGCCGGCCCCCCTCTTTTGACACATACCCCTTCCCTAGAAGCCCAAGACCTCTGTCATCATTTGAGGCCTGTGGGGGTTTGCCCTCACACTTCGGGTTCAAGGACCTCCCAGGAATCGTTCGAGTTCCACCTGTCACCGTGTCGCGTGATTCCCAGTCGGGGGTACCCCCTCCCCCCCGAGGTGCTGCGGGAGCTGGCACGGGTCAGTGAGGACTGGCGTAGGCGCTGGAAGAAGGAGGACTTGGAGGCGGGTGATGGGCCATTTTGTCTTTTTTTCTCATTATAATATATATATATATATATATACTTGTTATTATTATTATCATCGGTACTGTTGTTGTTATGCTTGCTTATGCAGCATGCGTTTAGCAAAGTGATTATCTTTGACGACGGAAGCATCAAGCACATATGTTGTGTTTTGTTGACACACAAGTTGCTGCATGCTTCCAGAGGCCCCTGATCGACGCGCGGGTTTGTCGAAGTTGCCAGATTTAAAGGAGGCGGTTTAAAGGAGGCGGGTGGTTTTGAGGGTTTGTCAAAATTGACCTATCCTAACACCCTCCAACAGAAGGCCCCGGAGTCAGGAGGCACACTACTTGCCCTCGCAACAAGAAACATGGGTGCACAGCACCCTTGTTTGAAAGGAGAGATGTTGTCTTTCAAAACGGGGTGTGCCTCCATGTTTGCTGGTCATGCTGGGCGGGTACAAGCTGTTCCCATGGTAACCTACCTGTCCGTGCAATTGAATGCTCACACAACGTTCCAGTGATCGGAGTACCTGGGGAGCGTCTCGATGTTGCAAGCACAGTGCCCCTGAGACAGGCCCCCAGCAAACCCGATGATGGAGCCTCTAAGGAAACCAAGGAACCGGAAACTACTTAGATTCTCTGCAGGGGTGCTTTGGTCAGGTTGCCTGAGGGCGGTGGTAAATGTCCAATGGCTTTCGTCTCTATGGTCAGCTTTTGGGTTTGGTGCTTAGAATAGACCCAGTGGCATGGTATCCATGATCAGCTTTGGGGTGTGGTGCGTGTGTTTCTTGAACATCAGCCAGCCCAACAAAGTGTCCTACATTCCTCAAAGCCACTGAGCTTGTTAAGCAAACAAACCTGCTATAGGAACCAGGCACCCAGCGCCCTTTTCTTCCCATGGCTACTGGGCTGGACAGGTTCTACGGGTCATCGAACTGGCGGCCATTGGGGCTGTTCTACAGCAGCGGCTGGGCATTGCTTGCCATGAAAGACCTGAAATGTGTGGTCGAAATACCGTGCATGGACCAAATCCTGCACCAGTTGGTACGGCTGTGAAGGATGTCGTCCATCCACAGAAATGTGCTTGTTTGTGTGGTTGTGTGTTTGTGTGTTGTGTTTGTGTTTGTGTTTGTGTTTGTGTTTGTGTTTGTGTTTGTGTTTGTGTTTGTGTTTGTGTTTGTGTTTGTGTTTGTGTTTGTGTTTGTGTTTTGTGTTTGTGTTTGTGTTTGTGTTTGTGTTTGTGTTTGTGTTTGTGTTTGTGTTTGTGTTTGTGTTTGTGTTTGTGTTTGTGTTTGTGTTTGTGTTTGTGTTTGTATTTGTGTTTGTGTTTGTGTTTGTGTTTGTGTTTGTGTTTGTGTTTGTGTTTGTGTTTGTGTTTGTGTTTGTGTTTGTGTCTGTGTCTGTGTCTGTGTGTGTGTGTTGGGGTCTCCTTTTTGTGGTGGTTTGATATGTGTGTACGCGATTTTTTGGGATCCCGCTATTTTGACACATACCCAGAAGGACCCTCCCCCATTCATTGAAGGTTGGAGCGGGGAGACAAAGGAAGCCAACTGCTGGGATGGGGTTCCTTCTTTTAGGAGACACCCATACGAGGCAAGTGAGAGCTAAGCAAAACATAATTTATACCAGGCTGCAAATATTGGCATCCTTTTGGAGGATGTCAGGGCGGGATGTCCATTTCGAGAAGTTTAGGGACTCTTCAATGTCCAGCCCGGGCCAGCCCCACTGACAACTGTTAGTTCTACTTCCTCGGTTGGACACGCGGACAATTCCCAGTTTTCAAGCCCAGGGCCAAGACTTGTAGCGGAAGTTTTGTTCAGCCAACAGCATGGAGATTGCAGTTCAAGCAATACTGTATGCTGTGCACTGAAAGGGCTGCAGTTGGAAAACTGTGAGAAAGAAGGCCATTGCCTTCGGATGTATGCCTCACGCTTCCCCTTGCCTTTCTTAGGCTTGTCTAGCAAACAAATGAAATCGCTGGGTTTCAACACATATTAATCTATAATATAAGTATACATACATACATACGTACGTACGTACATACATACATACATACATACGTATACATATATATATATATATATATGTATAGACGCTGAAGTACGCAGAGAGAGCATGACACCTTGTATGATCGAACTCACGTTCAGAATTGGTTGGTATTTACAGGGGAATCATCATTCCAGCGTTTCTTAGGTGTTGCAGGATTTCGTCCATACACAGTATGGTCTTTAGTGTTGCAATTTTCCGTTTTTGGTATTTGGCTCTAACAGTGTTGCTACTTGGTATTTAACAACTAAACATGTATTTGGCATTTTTGGCTTTTGGTATTAACAATTAAACATGTTAATAACTTTTCTTGCTTGCCCGCTGTGTTTGGCTAAGCATCTACTCTATGATCGCCGCATAGAAGTCTTGCAGCTGTGTGCCGCAGGCAAAGTCGACGACTGTGTCCACAGTGTCTTCAAAAGGATGTCCTTAAATCTGACTCACTGATCCAAGATGCTTTCCACTACCAACAAACCACTTACCTCACAGGTTGAATGGGATAGTGAAACTACTATCCATAACCAGTATATAAGGGTTCGCCAAATTTGATTGCGAGCTTTGGGGTAAAACGAGCTCACCGTACTGTCCATTCCTTCCGGATCCCTCTTTGCAGGTTTTCGAGCTCGTGGATCTTGCAGACTTCTTTATGCCCCGCTTTTCCCTGGCAGGACTTTGAGGGGTGGACACCATAGCACTGAGGATCCACCTGGTGACCGAGCCTGGGGATCGCTTGGCCGTTCCTCAGGACGAAGCGGCCGAATTCGCAGAATCGGGTGGTTTGGCTGGTGTCTGCGTTTGAGTGGCCTTTTTGAAGGTGCTTCTTTTAGGTTGATTTAACAGGAAACCACGAGGAAAGCCGCCATTTCGGGGGGGGCCCCCTCTATTCCGACGTACTTTTGTGCTTGGTTCAGCGCTTATCCTGATTGGCAAATGGCTACTATTCTTAGTCAAATGGAAGCATCTCATTTGGCGCGTCCAGACATGTCGTGTTGGAAAGGCTTAGGAATCAGAGCGAGCTGGCCGAATGCAGCTCCCTTGGCTGACTGCACTTTTGGCGGCAGAGCGTGGCAGCGGATTTTGAAGATTACGTTTAACGGAGTTGACATGAGTGTTTGACCATGGCACCAGTGTGGTGTCCTTGAAAGTGCGCTAGGTTCAAGGGCCGAGAGATGTCCATTGGGCCCTAGATTTCCGTTTTCGGCCGGTTGAAACGTCACCTGTGCTGATGTTCAAAGCCAAGCAGGCCCATGGCAGACCCTGAAAAAAAACAACTGCGCAAAAACAACGGCGCCCATACACAGCAAGCAAATTAGGAGCCCTCCTGAAAGACGTCCCACTTCACGCAAATGATCAGCCCGACAAGTAGGCCCTGGGGAAACTCGGGTGATTTTTGGACCCCTTTTTTTTTGCGGGAAGTGTTCCCCTTTAACCTCAACCAAGCAAAAAAGGATGCCCATGGCCACTGGGCATCTGCGTGTTTGACAGGACACCTGGCTGGAGAAGACACTCTCCGGCCTCTCGCAGCCGGAGGATTCTTCGCCGGCCAAGCGAGAGGAGTCCTCCCCGGGCAAGCGAGAGGAGTCACCGGCGAAGGCGCCTTGGACCCCATTGGCTACCCTTTTTTGGGGGAGGGTTCGACTGCAGAACAAAGTACCCTTATTCTAACCTCTCTACTGGAGGACGTAGTTCCCTTCAAGGCTCAAGACTTTCTCCCCCGACAGGACTCACAAGAACCCTTGTGTGGCTCAGCCCTCAGGGACCTTTCCTTCCTGCCGAAGATTAGGCAACCGAAAAGTCCGGACTAGTCCTTCGATGGAAATCGGGAAATCGGAAAATG